ACCTGTATACTTCCATGCGATCTATTTAGATAGGAGGTGAATAACTACACATTCTGTTATATTTATTTTCAGGATACTGTAAAACATCAAAAGTCGACCGTTGTGGAGAAAATGAAGAGAGAATAAAAGGAAAATGTGTTTGTCAGTCAGGATACCAACGTGATAAAAAAGGCAAATGTAAAGGTAATACAGATTCATACACATTTAATGATACTACAGGAATATTTCAAATGCTCAAACTGTTAACATACTTACAGCATTCAGATGTTAATTGTTAATATTATCATTGCTTTACAGGAAATATATAGCACACTATAATGATTGTAAAGAATAAAATGATTTTTGATTTGTAAATTAGAATAGAAACTCACATTTTCTAAAGGTTTAAACATTGCATTAACAAAATGTGCTGTATTGAGTCATTGCGTGCTNGTGACATACTACTACAACCGGTATTATTCAAACAGTAAGGTTCGGTAATATTGCGCGTCAAGTAATCTTGCTTTTATTTATATACCTCCATTAAATTGCAGCTTCAAGTCCGATAGTGGGAAGATAGATAAATTGTTTTAAACTCAATGTAAAGGTGCTATATGCCATACTTATATACAATAATATATAGACAGTTTAAAACTAATCCTTAAGCTGTCAGATCTAGGTTATGCAAAAGATTAAGGGGAAAGGAAACAAAGGATAGGTTCATTCTATTTGGTTTTTAATTATATCGGTTAATTTTTCGAAATCACACTATTTAAAGCTGATTGCAATAGAACATACCTTATTCTTAAATCTGAATTAATTTTTCAAACGTGAATGTTACGTCTACAATTGCCACAACAATATTAAATATTGAGGCGATAGATACAGTCAAAATATTTTGGATACAAAGAACGAACCGCAGGCAATCAAGTAACATGCAGTATCTTTGACACGTTTACATATTTAACCGTTCATTAAATTCAGGAAAATGCAATAGCTCGAAGACATGTGGAGTCAATGCCGAGAAGAGGAAAGGGAAATGTAGATGTAAGAAGGGCTACTCTGGGAGCCATACGGGCAGATGCGAAGGTAGGATGTCGTACGACAACCCTCTCCTGGATGGTATAAGGAATAGTATGATATATCTAACATACATGTTCGAAGGGTGATAGGAATATCAACATTGAAATACACGATATATGAGTCGCTGCATTGGGCGGTCGGAACCAATCTTGTCTTGAATATCCGTGAACATGGTTAAAGGGGCTGGTCGGGGAAAAAATGTCATATTTGCAAAATTGGTATACACATGTTTAAAATACATTCTTATGAAATATACCGATTCAAATTTTGTTGAAATTCACTCCCTAAGAGTAACAATTATAATTATATTAAAGATATCCTAAATCGTCACCTGACAGTCTAAAACTCTCAATTGACCCAGATCAGTGATGTGATTTTACCGCATGCGCGTCATCAACAAGGCCAAATGTAAACATCGCGGCGAAAGAACAAAATGCATGCAAAAGTCATGACAGGCACGAGGTATCAATACCGTTATATATAACAACAACATATAGTTAGGAATACTACACTTGCATCATACATGACCTTTGAAAACAATTATTAACGTATAGTATTGCTGTCTTGTCCGCTAGTTGAGTCCGACATGGCTGATAGACGGCGTGCTATTGTTGTTATCTCCACTGCCTCACTTTCGAAACAACCACGTGACATATATAAATAGATCTGCGCTAAATTTACGCGGGGCTTCCCCGAGATTTCAGTGGTCAAAACTGGATATTGCAAGCAGAACTCGACCATCATATTGCCGTGGTTTAACTTTTGGAAGGCCCGAGAACGCATTTAGACCCATTTATTTTGTATTTTTTTCCCCGACCAGCCCCTTTAATTTTAAGTTCCTATTGATAAGTAAAATCCAACTCTAAGAGAGGGTTTCATGTGCGTTAAGTATGTTTCCTAACTCCTTCAGATGATATGAACAGTATTCAATATCATCTTTTTTGAACTAAATCTAACGTAGACTACAAAATGGTTGTTATTTAGAAATAAAGTCTTACGTTGCCTCTTTTTCAATGATCGTTCACACCACTCCCTGTTAAGCCTGAATGATAACTCACGTACACTACCATAATCCCAACTAAACGAGAACTCACATAAACAAACTCATATATTTGACTTTAGTTTAAAATATCAAGCAATATTTGAAAATTAGTTAAATTGTATAACGATCTAGAAGAATCAATGTTTACTCAATCATTCCTATAATTTTAGAGTAATCCTTCCATCATGCATATTGATCTCTTTTTTAAGAATTGTTGTTACCCTAAAAATTATTTCTAGTGTTTTACGTAAAAATGATTTTTGACTGGCTAAATTATTATTTTTTTAAACCGGTTTCATAGTTAGATGGACCTTTTAACTAACTTATGAAAACAAAAACCATAAACAATTGTCATTATTTAATATATATTTATAAAGACATTGTCGTAAAGTAGTGCTGGTTGTATGTAACACATCCACTTTCTTTCTGAATAGCGTCATGTACGTGTTCTGCATCCGGTGATCCACATTACAAGACTTACGACAACATGATGATTCATTTTATGGGAACCTGTATGTACACTCTCACTAAGTCCACTATCATGGGCGACCCATGTGCATTTAATGTGGAGGTGAAGAACGAGCATCGGAAAGGGAAAACCCACGTAGCATATAGTCGAATGGCGTTTGTTGAAATCCTCAATAAAAGAATAGAAATTCTTCCTAGCAGAGCTGTTAAGGTAAGTAATAAAAGACTATTTACACTCGACAATTTCTCACTTCTCACAATACATTGCAAGTTGTAATTGACGTCGCCAGGTGGTTGGGTCTGTAAATGGACTATGATTCCCCGAGGTCTGACGTAATGTTTAGTTTGAATTATTGTTGGCACAGTTAACCTGCATTTAAGAGTTTTCTATTCAAGCTAAACGTTGGAAATGTTATAAAGGTTTCACAGGAACTCATTCATTCTTATAGCAGATATAATAACAATTAAATTTTGGCACTATTACACACTGTAATTCATCTGTATATATCATGGTGATTTTTTTTAACAAAGATGGACAAATGTTGGAAAAGTAATTAACGAAGGTCGCTTGCGGCCTGAATTGGTTATATCAATTAACATTAACATTTTCGAATCTCGAGTATTCAACCATAATATACAAACATAGGTTGCTTATATATGTTCTACCAAGTAAATTGCACTAAAAATCTTTTTCTTGTAAACCTCAGTGTCCATACGCCGGCAATAAGCAAAATGAGATGATAATGTAGTTATTTTAATATGGCTATTTATTTTCGCGCACAAACATTTCGTCACTTGTTGCCTATATGTCTTCATTTCACAAAAAGCTGCGTTCTTATCTCTTGTGAACCTGTTGGCCATGTCCTATTTTGTGTATTTAACCAGGATATACTTGGGAAGGAATTTCACTTTTAGTCGGCATTTGGTCGACAGCCGATAAAAACACACTGACGTCGTGGTTTAGGGTTTAATTTAATCAATCAAATCCACCAATCTATCGACATTGCTCGTCAACTCATGAAATCAACATTTGACAAATGAACAAACAAGTCATCTTCGTGATAAGTTCAGTGGAAAATTCTGACCGTAGGCATTATAGGTTTAAGTAGATCTAGAACTTATTATTGTAGATTTTGTTGTTATCTAGCAAATTTTAAAATAAATACAAATTCAGATTTGAAAAAGCGTTGGTCTGTTGGATGATAATACACGCACGTGCATGGTCTATCGCCCAATATTACATGGTTATTTACATATAAAAATGTGTCGCTATATCGCGAACGTGGTGGAATGTTTTACACGTGTCGGTAGCTTTACCATGGGGTCTGTTTAAAGGTTTCTGTTCTCGATTGCTCAAGCTGTCGTTTGATTTTCCAAAATGTATTGTAGCGTCTGAAACAAATCAATTAAACGTGACCTGGGAATTCGTTTTGTTTGCTATACAACATTTTTTTATTATTATGGTTTCTCGGGCACCTGGTTGATTATGGAACTTTAATTCCTTTTATTGATTTTAAATTGAAAGAGCATGAGCATATCTACTAACAATATCTTAAAAATGTCCACATCAGTTTTTTATCATTTAATTGTTTGTTCTTAGGATAAATGACAATATATTCTAATGTTCTTTGAAATTCAAAGCAAGATATACGCTCTGGATGAAAAGCTATTTTTACGAATAGCTAATAATAACAATGAAATCTTAAAAAATGCATATCTGATGAACAGTGTTGCTAATCGATAAATAGACAACTTACAAGGTACTTGAATCATGGCGTTATTTATTTGTTAGGGCTTTTCACTTATGACGAAAAGACCTATTGTTTTTGTTATGTTTCTTATTCTTCGTATTGTATTTCTTCTGTCATGATTTTGTGGTCACTTCATCTTCTGATTGGTAGCAGACATTGTTATACTCTTACAAGTATATTGTAGGCTAAAGTCAAAAAGTGTCATTGCAACATTTTCAAGCAGGTCATAAATCCAAAATGGCCACCATAACGTCATAGGTCAAAATCTTAAAATGGCCATAACTCAAAAATTATTGATTGTACAACGACCATGCTATAATATTATAATATAATTTGTAGATACACTTCGGGGCTGACTGTTTCTCATTACATGTTAATAAAAAAGGTTCAAATTAAAATCCTCACTACAGGGTCAAAGGTCTCCAATTCTCCTTTTTATTTCTTCTTTTTTTTTCATGAAAAAATATTTTTTGTTCACGATGGAAACTTGCATTACAATGAATTTGATTTCCTCTTTCTGTAACTACACAATTTTGAATATTCCCTTTGATCTATTTGCAAGATCGACAATATGTTCAAACCATTTTATTCTGATGTTCTGCTACGCAGATTTAATCCAGTGTAGGTATTTATATTTGCCCACTAATACCTATAAAAGTTTCATAACTCTTTTGTATATCTCAAATCCAAGATGTCCGTATGACGTAATATCCGGTGTTTTTTCTAACAGCAATAACTCTTTAACGAATGAAGCAATCAATATCTTCTATGGGTATGTTATGTAGGCTAGAAATGCAAAGCTTTTTCTCATGAAACAATTTTTGGGTCAATGGTCTACTTTCGGTTTTCGGTAGGGGTCAAAGTTCAAATGCACTTTTTTGGGGAACAAACTTTAAAGAGCTTGTTCTCAAATTCTGCAAGGTCTATGGTCTTGATATTTGATACGTAACATGCTGAGATATTAAACTATTACTTTTGACAAAATGGTTGACCTTGATCATTGATCAAGGTCAAAGAGGTCAAATGTCTAAAAATGTAAATATTTAATAAAAACCAAGATCACTTTCAGTACCATGGTTTATGTTATTCTTTTCTTCATAGATAGTAAAGACCATGAGGTTTTGAAAAATATGTTTGTGATCACAGAACTAATCAGTCCTAACGATGAAAAGCCAGTAAAATTGTTAGCCAACACTTTCTAGTTTATTTTTATTTTTTATTTTATTTTTGTTCAGCATTTTTTTGTTTTTTCTTGATGTGTTTACAGATGTAAGTTACAGAATTACTCTTGTTCTCTTTCATCACATTGTATGTATTTATATAATTGACAGATAGACGGTGTTCGGATTTATTTACCTTACTCCAAGGGTGGTATATCTCTCGGAATAAGTGGTCGGCACGTGCAACTGACAACAGAATGTAATGTCAAGGTTCAGTGGGACGGTAGATCCAACATTAAGGTCACTGTGCCGAAGGTATATGACAGTCAGATGACGGGATTGTGTGGTGATTGTAACGGTAAACAAGATGACTACCAAACAAAGGAAGGCAAAGATGTCTCCGGGGAAAAAAATAAGTTCGTGCTGATCGGAAACAGCTACACGGTCGCGGATGTGTCTGATGATCCTGCTAAAGTGTAAGTTATAATGATTCACAAATTTATCGCTATGTCTAAAACCAAAGGAAACTAATTATTGCATTGATTTCAGAAACTCTCTGTTTCCAACATTCACTCTGATATGTCACTTTGAAGTAAAATAAAAACCTAATTAACAACACAAATTAATATTTACATATTCGATTATCATTTATAATACACTATACATGATACACTTTGATAAAATTAAGCTAACTTCTTCCGACATTTTCGAAAGACGAAATACTAGATTATAATGCTGCTGTAAAGCATCATTAATTATGTCAATTCAGCATCATTTATACAGAGTAACAGTTGTGAAGTATACACCAGAAGTCGAGTAAAAGGAATGTGAATTTTGAAAAACTCAAAAGACCTATTGATTGATCATAAACACTCTTTCATCAGAAATGTTTCTTGTATCAGAACCTTTAAATTTTTTATCCAATCTGCACACCAACACCAACACCCTCCACTAAAGCAACATACAATTTTTTTCATTATTAGAGCTTTATTTCCAAGAAAATCGAACGGAGTTGCAAGTATAAAATTATAAACTCTTTAAGAGTATAGTATACACCGTAACCAGGATGCTTTCGAAGTACGATTTCGATTTCATTTATTTTCCGCATTGAGAGTTGTTTTCCTCTAGAATGAATAAATATATCTTAAAACTGTGGAGGATTATAATTCTTTATTCCTCGATAAAAAAAATGATTTCAATTGTTCTTAAAGTAAAATGCATGTCTCTCCATTTTTTTTATTTACAGTTAATTCGTAAAATTATGAAGTGTTTGTATTTTATCAAAATAAAGTAGCTAAAACATATTATAAAAAAAATAATTTGTTTCCAAAAATCCCTTTCCAGTTGTAAGCCTGATAACGATCAATTTGAAAAATGTAACAAGGACAACTTACCGCTCGCATCTCAGTATTGTGGTATTCTGAAGGCATTAGACGGACCATTTGGGAAAGTGTTGCAGATGAAGGATGAACAATTCCAATTGTTGGCTGACGAAACATTTGATTCTTGTTTAATTGATGTGTGCGCAAATGTTAAAAACCCAAAGGAAGCTGCCTGTTCATCTATTGAGGCTTTTGCTACTTATTTGGAAGACTCCAACTTTATTGTAGACTGGAGAACCCAAGATTTATGCCGTGAGTGTGGTTTATACCTTTCTGCTCTGTTATTAACAATTGAATTATGTCACAGTCGAACAGAATACACTATACACATGTTCTTGAGTAAAAATGTAAAAATTCTAAAATACAACAATAGTTACAAAGGACACACAGAGATGAAATCATCAAGACCTCTTAAACAAAACGTATTCGAAACTTGGCCATTCAGAGATACAATGGTTTCCTTCGAAAGTCTGAGGGTTTAGTAACATTCAAACTTGAACTGTTGAATATGTTTTCCTCAAGCATTTACTTGCAGTTTTGCGGTTATGTTTTATAATATATCAAAAACGATGTGTTGAAAGTGTTAGAATAATATTATTCGTCCTAATATTATCGACAGCATTGACGTGCGACGAGAATATGGTGCCTAGTATCGCAGCAGAAGCGTGTCCAGAAAATTGCGTAGAAGATACCAACATGCCCGACTATATGTGTGAAATGCCAGTGACTGAAGGCTGTGTGTGCAGGGAGGGATTCGTCCTCAGTGACACACAATGCGTTAAGCGTGAAGATTGTGGTTGTTCACATAAGGGACAATACTACAAGGTATACCTGAATTATTTTATGTTTAAACTTGTCCTCCAGATATCAAAGCCAAATTTAAAAAAAACAATCGGTAGAATTGTTGTTCTCGAAAAGTTAATGACATAAGCATGGAAATCGTATTTTCTTTAATCTAATGGTTTATATTACAAGGTAAAGTTAAATTTTCTTTTTAATCAAAATTTGTGTTTGACAAAATATAATGATTTCCGCAATTCCTATCTACTTAAAAAATGAAAATATTACTCTATTGTCTTCATTGTTGGTTGACAGTATATAATTCAAGTGATGAAATTAAAAACACTGTTTGTGAAACAGACAACGTTAGACGGGAAAACGTATCGTTTGTGAAGGAGCCTTTTAAACATTAATTTCACCTGATAAACTGAAGTTATCCCCTGTTAAGGCAACGTTTACCACAGGAAACGTTTGATGTACAATAAGAGTTAGAACCGGAAGTAATGTTGATATAATTTGTTTACCAGATAGACGATGAACATGTGTCCGACGACTGTAAAGATGTGTACAGGTGTCAACGGAATGAAACATCCACAATGAATATTGTAGCTCAACTTGATGGTTGCAGCAAAGATGCCGAATGTGTTATAAATGATGGCCTCAGGCAATGTGTGTGCAATCCAGGTTACGGGGGTAACGGAAAATACTGCACAAGTAAATGTTCTTTTATTTATATAAATGTGTTATCTATATTCTGATGTTTTACAATATTTCCAATTATTTGGAGACTTCATCTCTCCACCTCCACCTGCCGTATTACTCCGCAGTCATTCGTCATCTGTCTGTTCACTATTTTCTCGGGAGGCTTCTTTCCTTAACTTTAATGGAAACAGACAAAGTTAGTAGAAATATTCTGCAAGTAGGAAGGTTGATAACGATGGAGGGTGCTGGGGGGAGGGGACTAAGCAATTAAGCTACGTCTCCTGACAGATATAAATGTTTTGACTAGACTAGAAGCAGCCTCGTGCGGTGATGATAAAAACACAAGGCAGGGGGCTTATCCCTAAAGCCGATGATTCAAATGTGTTATTTGGACATAGTGCTTGAAGCATTCCCTTTCTCTGGAACTATCCCAAAGAACGTCAACCACAACCAAGTTTATCACAACGACTGTCTGCGTAGGGAAAAAACATCCCCATGATTATGATTATCATAGAGTATATTTTGTATTAGCATTATAATGCAGCTTGTTTTTTTAGATCTTACTTATATGCATTTTCATACCTTTCTTGAAACAGGTTGAAAATCAATCATAAAGTGCATTAACGATGACGCAACAGAAGGATTTTTCTTGACCACAATACACTGATTTTATTAATATAACGTATTTTGTACATGTACCATATTTTACACTGCATTTCCCCAACTCTCTTCTAACTTCTCCTGTGATTTATTCGCGTCACTATCCCTAAGCTATAGTTGATAATGTTGGTTATGATGAAAGGTAACAGATTTATATAAGTGTATTAACACTTGTTTCTGTCTCCAATTCATTTATGTATAATCATATTTGTATTATGTATTACATATGTTATGTGAATAAAACAAAGTTTAAACCAAGGATGTCAACCAAATTTGGTAAGCTGCATTTCCAGATAAACGATTCAAAATCCGCTATTGGAGGGGGCTGGGAGGAAAAAGAATAATTAAAATACATTGCTTTATATGCCCCCTCTTCGGGACAACGAAGTCGATATCAACCTATTTTTGTTAGAAATATCCTTAGATGGCGTTGATTCAAAAAGTACAAATGAAAGGCTGACCCATAAACTATGGTGTGGTGGTGTGAGGAACAGGGCTAAGATTGTGATAACTTGGTTAATAAATAGTTAATATACCCACCGTTTAACAAGTTCTTTATTGTTCGCCATAAACATATGAATATAACTGTTCTACAATGTTTTGACCCGGGGTTTTGCTAGCTCCAGTGGACTTAATACTTGATACCAGACCAACACACATTTTTGATTGACACCTGCCAAAGAAAGTAGTTATCTCCGGGTTTCCGGATCCTTCCAAGTTTAAAACCCCCGAGTGCTTCCATCCGGGCCGACAGGAGAGATTAATATAAGTTGGACACTAAAGAAAATCTATAGTTATATTTCATCTCAAAAGATTAATAAGAGTCGAAACTAGATCTTGCTACCCAACGATTATTTTAAAGACAGGACATACTTATTTCATTTGGACAGTTTTTATATTTATTACATCTTTTTTTTATGTATACCTGATGATTTTTACTTGATTTCTGTTGTTTATATCTAAAACACTCTTATACATATTAATATTGTAGTTTTCACATAAAAAAAGGTGTTTTCTATATAACATGAATCAATATTTCTTCTGATTTATATTGCACAAATAGAGACATAAATAATCAGCATAAACAGAACGTATTTTAGTGTTACGTGAAATTTTAATTGTCATTTTTCTTTCGATAACAGAAATCCCACCTCCCTATGTTTGTCCAAGTGGTGCCATGGAGGAGACCGTCAACTGTGAAAAAGGAACCTGTGCTATTGGAGATGGACATACAAAAGTTCTAAACGTAGCTCCAGTAATGGAAAGCGGCAAAGAAGAATGTTATAAAACTGAATGGTTCGAAGTTTCAAGGAGCAGTATTACTATTTTACAACCTGGTTGTGATAGCGAGTTTGTAGTATGTTATCAACAAACAAGCTTCGTTTGTCCGATTGGTTTAATGAGTGAAACAATTACATGCGAAAAAGGAAACTGTTTAGTCAGTGATGGCTATGTCAAATTGATAGACGCTTATGCGGTAATTACTGGGGAAAAGAAATCGTGTTTTGAGTCAACTTGGTATCAATTGGAAGCGAACAGTATAACCATAACTCAACCAGGTTGTGGTAGTGTGTTTCAAGTGTGTTATGAACAGAAGATAGAAGTTAAATTATCTACTATCCAGCCAATCGGTACGTATAATGTAAGACATAAAACGTCAAAAGGAAAGATATTAAGTGAATACCAATACTCTTATGAGACCATCTTTTCTACTAAATATAGTTTGTTTATGCATAATGTATGACGTGTTATTTTGGCATCATTTCAAAAAATGTTATGTGGTAATAACGACTAACTATCTCGTAATAACGACTTAACAATGTCGTAATGACCAATTACTATCTCGAAGTTACGACTTAGCTATGTCGGAATAATGACTTTAGTTTGTCGTAGTAACGACTTAGCTATCTCGTTATAACGACATGCTTATGTCGTAATAACGACTTACTATCTCGAAGTAACGACTTAGCTATGTCGTAATAACGACTTACTATCTCGAAGTTACGACTTAGCTATGTCGTAATAACGACTTTAGTATGTCGTAGTAACGACTTAGCTATCTCGTTATAACGACATACCTATGTCGTAATAACGACTTACTATCGCGAAGTAATGACTTAGCATGTCGTAATAACAACACATGAATAATGCATATTTGTTTCAATTCAAACAAGTTTACAGATAAGAAATAGCCGCTGTCATAATTTTCGCGGTTTGGTTATTGTAAACAAGGGTACCTCGACCGCCGAATTGTTAAAATAATATGAGAACCACACAGAAAAGTTATAGAATAAAACAATTGTAATTAAAATATAGGTAATGTCATGTTGGGCGTTGATAACTGCAACATCACTGATCGACTCTCTAACCAGCTATAAACACCGTCTGTAATGAACAGATAGGCACACTCATGATAAGCGCAAATACAGTAAACCTTATACATTGAAAGGTGAAATATATAAGCGTACCTAGCGACACCCTAGAATGGCTTTCAACCCAAAAACATTTTACCACGATATTTATAAAATTCTGATAAAAAAATAATGATCAACAATGTACTTTTTCACACAAACCATTCGGACATTTTCATATAATCAATTGCCGCAGTAGTTCAGCAGTCAAACAATCACACCGATTATACTAGTAACAGTTGCGGCTGCATTATCTAGTTGGACAAAAAGTGATTTAATAGGTTTTAACAAAAATGAAATGCTAGCTTGTTCTTATTTGTTTCAGAGTGTTCCTCAACACAGGTAATAGGGTGTAGTGGAAAGATCGGAGAGAAAGTTTATTGTCCCATGAAGGGAAAGGGTCGAATCTTAAAAGTTGATATCCCAGACAGTTGGTCTCGAAGTGACAGCAGTAAACCGTGTGATAAGTCTATGGTAGATTTCAACGACAAAGGCATCTGGCTGAGCGATGACTGCCTTGCAGCTGATGCGGAGGCTTGTATCGGGAAAGGTAATTGGCGTATTCAGGTATCCAAAATAATATCAGTTTATGTCTTTTTTTTAAATTGGTGTGGAATTAGTTATATTAATTGGAAATATCCATTTTATAATGATATCAATATATTAATATTAAGTTACATATTTGGAAAATATAGCTTTAAAATAAAAGTAAAACAATCACGTATATTTGGTTTATATACGTAAACCCATATAAAGAAGATGAGAAATAATCTTATTACATTTTTTAATACATCATGTAACACAAATCCCTGTTAAGTGGTCACCCCAATATCAAAAATCTACAACAGGTTGATATATACTACCCTTGGTAGTAACATGCATTCCTTCGATAAGTATGGGATTGACACCCTTTAAAACTTCAGCAATGGACCATAGAACAGAAAAATATTAACTTGAGATTAGGAATATCTATTTGATATTTAATAATAAATGCTGATTTTGCATTTCTTCTCATTTGACATTCCATCTTAGACTATTTATGTAACATTTACATAGCGACAACTGTGTTTCAAGATTAAGACTGCGAGAATATTGCAAAAAAGTGAAAACTAAAAAAACAAAAACATGTATTGACCGCGTCGATCGCGTATACCCTCCTTAGGTACAGCTGCGTACGCTTACTTTGATATTTACCTGCATCTTGACCAACATGGAAAGCTTATAACTTAGCTTATACATGGCGAGTTTGACATTCCGAACTTTCCCTTAATACAAGGAAATACTGTAGTAACATCAATATTTCCTTCAGTGTGCACGTGTCACTGTTAGTTCTGTATTAAACATCGATGTTTCCTTCAGTGTGCACGTGTCGCTGTTAGTTCTGTATTTAACATCAATGTTTCCTTCAGTGTGCACGTGTCACTGTTAGTTCTGTATTCAACATCAATGTTTCATTCAGTGTACTCGTGTCACTGCTAGTTCTGTATTCAACATTAATGTTTCCTTCAGTTTGCACGTGTCACTGTTAGTTCTGTATCCAACATCAATGTTTCCTTCAGTGTGCACTTGTCATTGTTATTTCTGTATACAACCGCAATGTTTCATTCAGTGTGAACGTGTCACTGTTAGTTCTGTATTCAACATCAATGTTTCATTCAGTGTGAACGTGTCAATGTTAGTTCTGTATTCAACATCAATGTTTCCTTCAGTGTGCACTTGTCATTGTTATTTCTGTATACAACCTCAATGTTTCCTTCAGTCTGCACGTGTCGCAGTTAGTTCTGTATACAACCTCAATGTTTCCTTTAGTCTGCACGTGTCGCAGTTAGTTCTGTATTCAACATCAATGTTTCCTTTAGTGTGCACGTGTCGCAGTTATTTCTGTATTCAACATCAATGTTTCCTTCAGTGTGCACGTGTCATTGTTAGTTTTGTATTCCGCTTCAATGTTTCCTTCAGTGTGCACTTGTCACTGTTAGTTCTGTTTTCAACAGGATATTCCATAGCCTAATTAATCATTTCTCTGTAATTAGCATTTTATGCCATATGGCGCACATATCTTATGTATTAACGCTAAATCAAAGGTCACTAAGGAGTCAAACTCAAAACAACTGTTTTACATTTTTGTTCTGTAACTTTTGAAGGACTATCATTTTATAAAACGTCATAGATAGACGCATCAAGTTATTTACTACTCGTGTGTCAGTATTTTAAGTTTAAGGTAACACGAAAGGTAAAAGTTTCATGGCGTTTTATAGACATTTGCATCACAACTACACCGTATGTCACACGGAATCACCATGTCCGCATCTTGTTGGTAAAGGTCATCGCCGGGGAAAATATGTCAAATTATTTTAATGAATGGAAAGAAACAAAATATTGAACAAACTGTTTATAAGATGTTTCAGGACTTAAGTTATCTTTGCTGAGGGGTTTGTGGCGTACTTGTCTGGTTGTAAGATGTTTCAGGAATTAAGTTATCATTGCTGAGGGGTTTGTGGCGTACTTGTCTGGTTATAAGATGTTTCAGGACTTAAGTTATCATTGCTGAGGGGTTTGTTGCGTACTTATTTGAAGAAAAAAAAATGTTTTCGACAACAGGTGCAAAATTAATTTGTATTTTCAATGATATATATTTATATATCAATCTATCTGAGCATTGTGTGGACATTATCTGTAACCTCAACATCATCAGACAGTAAAATAATTCAACGTTAAATAGTTTGTGAAACATGTTATTCCTTTTCCAGCTGTCTGTAGATCTCCGTGTGGTTCAAACGCTGAATGTGAGGATGGAAACTGCAAATGTAAAGAAGGAATGCAAGGTGATCCATACAAAGAATGCTTCAGTAAGTAATGTATAACAAAAAGTATAGGGATCCACTCAGGGAATGTGTCGGTTGGTAAAGTAAAGACGGAATAATGGAATTAACTCGGGGGATGTGTCGGTAAGTAATGTGAAGACGGAATAATGGAATTAACTCGGGGGATGTGTCGGTAAGTAATGTGAAGACGGAATAATGGAATTAACTCGGGGGATGTGTCGGTAAGTAATCTGAAGGGGGAATTATGAGATTAACTCAGGAAATGTGTCGGTTAGTACTGTAAAAAGGGAATTATGGAATCAACTCGGGGAATGTGTCAGTAAATAGTGTGAAGAGGGAACTATGGGATCAACTCAGGGTATGTCAGTAAGTAATCTAAAGAGGTAACTATTGGATCAACTCAGGAAATGTGTCTGTTAGTAATGCAAAGAGGTAACAATGGGATCAACTCAGGAAATGTGTCGGTAAGTAATGTAAAGGGAATTATGGGATCAACTCAGGAAATGTGTCGGTAAGTAATCTGAAGAGTGAACTATTGGATTAACTCTCGGAATGTGTCGGTAGTAATGTGAAGAGGGAACTATGGGACTAACTCGGGGAATGTGTAAGTTAGTAATGTAAAAAGAAAATTATGGAATTAACTCGGGGAATGTTTCGGTAAGTATTCTGAAGTGCGAACTATGGGATCAACTTGGGGAATGTGTCGGTAAGTAATCTGAAGAGTAAATTAAACTATTCGATCAACTCGAGGAATGTGTTGGTTAGTAATGTAAAGAGAAAACTATGGAATCAACTCGGGGAATGTGTCGGTAAGTAATCTGAAGAGGTAACTATTAGATCAACTCGGGGAATGTGTCGGTAAGTAGTCTGAAGAGGTAACTATTGGATCAACTCGGAGAATGTGTCGGCTAGTAATGAGAAGAAGGTATAATAGGATCAACTCAGGAAATGCGTCGGTTAGTTATGTAAATAGGGAATTAAGGGATCAACTAAAGGAATGTGTCGGTAAGTAGTGTGAAAAGGGAACTATGGGATCAACTCGGGGAATGGGTCGGTTAGTAATGTAAAAAGAAAATTATGGAATTAACTCGGGGGATGTATTGGTAAGTAATCTGAATAGGGAACTATGGGATGAACTCGGGGAATGTGTCGGTAAGTAATCTGAAGAGGAAACTATGGGATGAACTCGGGGAATGTGTCGGTAAGTAATCTGAAGAGGTAACTATTAGATCAACTCGGGGAATGTGTCGGTAAGTAATCTGAAGAGGTAAATATTGGATCAACTCGGAGAATGTGTCGGTTAGTAATAAGAAGAATGTATAATTGGATCAACTCAGGAAATGCGTCGGCTAGTTATGTTAATAGGGAATTAAGAGATCAACTTGGGGAATGTTTCGGTAAGTAATGTAAAGAGGGCATTTCAGATCAACTCAGGGATTGTGTCGGTAAGTAATCTGAAGGGGGAACTATTGGATAATATCGGTGAGATTGTTGTTTAGTTATCTGAAGAGGGAACTACGGGATCAACTCCGGGAATGTGCCGGTTAGTAATCTGAAGAGGGAACTACGAAATCAACTCGGGGAATGTGTCGGCTAGTACCGTGAAAAGGGAATAACGGGATAAACTCGGGAAATGGTCGGTTCGTAATCTGAGGAGGGAATTATGGGATCAACTCGAGGAATGTGTCGGCTAGTACTGTGAAAGGGAATTATGGGATAAACTCAGGGGAATGTGTCGGTTAGTAATGTAAAGAGAAAATTATAGGGAATCCATCCAGGACATGTTTTGGTTAGAAGCAGTATTACGCTCTTCATACTTAGTGACATCAATAATGTGCTGACATTCAATTCAGTTAAGTCTATCATTTACAATAACATCTCATGGTCTATATCTGGAAAGTTACTCTTTAACACAAACTTCAAACATATTTGAATTTATTAAATACGCAACAGTTTTCCTGTTTCGTGATATTAATACTTTCATTTGCGAGTACCACACGAATAATTTACTTTAAAGTGTTGGTAAAATGAAATATCTTTTATCCTTCCTATTTTTTTCGAATCAGAATAGACAGCTTCATTACATGTACATTTTGCGGCAATTAAAACTAAATGATTTTATTAAAATGCTACCTAGTTGCGACAGAAATAACATATCTTAAGAGAACAAACTTAAATTTGGTGATTTTATTTATTCTTATTATTTCGTTTTTATATGATCTACCACTAATTTTCATTTTTTTCTGCAATTTTTTTTTTATTTCTGATTCCTTCCAATCCCAGTTTTAATGTTTTCAATCAATTGCATCATATTTTCAGAAATGTGCTCATGTAGAGCGTATGGCACTCTACATTATCGACAGTTTGATGGAGAAAATTTGGATTTCGGTGGTGCATGCACCTACGTTTTGTCTCAACTAGAGGATCAAACAAAACAGTGTTCTTACATTGTTGAAGTCACCAACAAGGAACTTCAAGGGCAGAAAAAAGGCGTCGTCACTAACTCCGTGACCGTGCAAATATATGGACAAAAAATTGATCTTTTCAAGAAGCAAAAGGTCAAGGTGAGAATCAATTTGAAAACATTATATAGTCTGTAAGTGAATTAGTTGCGTCTGTATTGTCTCTAATGCATATTTCCTTTTGAAGATAGATTTACATTTCAAGAAATGTTTTTGTATGCATAATCATGGAAAAGACATTGTAAGCATGTTTTTGTAATTCGGATTATTCCTCAGGTCGACAACCAGTCTGTAACACTTCCATACCGTACCCCATCTGGGAAAATTGACATTGTAAAAAGAGGCAGTACCGTGAATGTAATAGCATCTGAGTGTAACATCATTGTGTCGTATAACGGACGCAGGAATACTGTCGTCAGAGTTCCTAAAACCAAAGCAGACACTGCAACAGGAATATGCGGAAACTGCAACAGTGAGCGAAACGATGACTATATTGTACAAAATAGCGTAGAAATTCCCAGTGGTGACCCGAATCGTGCTACAACTTTCATCACTGAATACTTGGTAAAAGACTCCGGAGACAATTTGAACAATGCTAAGTAAGTTTTGTTTATAATATATAGAATAGATGTTCTGCTGTAGTACTATGATTTTCATAACAACTAGAACGTAATGTCAAACGGGTTCATCTATCAATAAAATTCCCATATATTGAAACTCCATGGGATGTCAAAATGTGACTGCTAAGGAATGGGAAGAAGATAATTACCGTGAAATCATATTGTTCAACGACAAAAGGGAAAGATGTATAGCTGACAAAGCTTTCTGGAAGCGCTTACTTATTTGATATTATATATGTACTAATGTATCTTATAAAAACATGTACTTACATTTTCCATACTCTATATGTACTTACATATTTTATTACATATTCCATATTCTATATCTACTCACATATTTTATTTTCCATATGTACTAACATTGTCCTTTATTCTATATGTACTCACACATATAAGATTAAATATGCACTTAATATGTATATTCTATATGTACTTACATATTCTATATTCTATTTGTACTCAAATATTGTATACTCTATATGTACTTACATCTTTTAGAATATGTATGTACTTAAATGTTTTAAAGTTGTACTTACATATTTTGTATTTTATATGTACTAACATATTCTAAATTCTATATGTACTCACATATTGTATATTTTATGTGTACTCACAACTTTTATATTATACATTTACTTTCATATTTTATATTTTATATTATCTTAAATATTAATAGATATGTACTTATCAAGGATAAAATAAACTAGAAATGGAATAGGAAAATGAATCTTTATCCGTTAGATATACAAATATTCCAGTTAAATGGAAAAATATACCCAAGTTTTTTTCACACATTTATTGTACTCGTGGAAACGTCAGAATTCTGTCATATGTGTGAATTATATAGGTAGTTTTCAATAGAAACAATTTATTTTCTTTTTATGTAAAATAACTATTTAGTATCTTTGCAATGTTTATGAATCATGAAATATTGGAATTGTTCGCGTGATATTGTAATGGTGTTACGCATGAAAACTAGGCTGCTGATCACTCAACGCAGTACTATCCTTAGGCTGAAATCTAGTAAGTGTTGGTACGAATTGGTACCAATGTTGTAGTAGAATGAGTATATTGGTTGAAGCAAAGTTGTAACAAAACAATTATTCACTCCATCGTCGCTTCATTTGCATCTGAACTGAACATTCCAATATGCCGATGACAAAAATGTAATAGTATTCCAAAATAGCATTGTCGAAAATGAAGTGAAAGAAACCCAATAGCAATTAGGCGCTAATTGGAATATCTGATAGTCTGTTGAAATATTCCTCAAACGCAAATTTATCCAAAAATGTATCAAACCAGAGACAATTTCACAAGATCGCCATTTATAGGTGTGTTTTGCAAAGTGTAACTGTGCGATGTTTAACAGAAGAAGTCTTATTGATATCGAGTCCAAGATATTTGTATATGGGTTTACCAGTTTTAGATTGGAAAAAAGACTGATGCACCGACTATTTAAGACAATTTCACAAATCTCACTCGTGACTACCTGTATAAATATATAAACACTGTAGTATAAACGTATGTACTGTTAATAGATTGATAGATAAAAAATAAAAAAATAAAAACCCAGACTTTTGACCAGATAGAGGTTTTGCAATGAACCGAAGTTTAGAAGTAGTAATCATTCTCTGGAAAGATAGAATTAACGAGTTTGAAGAGTTCTCATTTCTTTTTGTAGCTTTGCGTGTAATATGAAAACAAATGTGTAAAAGCTTCTTCTTCATTGATAAGTCTTTCTCTATTTATATATACCACGCAAACATGTATTTTACAAATACACATAGGATCTTACATGAGTTTCCATTTCATGTGCGATTAATGAAACTAGTCTTAGAATTTTTCAATTTAGCGAGCCTCTGGTGAGCTATAATGATATTCGTGACAAGTTTCATGAATTTCATATGAAATGAAATTGAGTGTAAGATCCTGTTTATCACCTAATCAAGATTTGTGGCATTTATTCGTGTAAAACGACAATTTCCATGCAACCTTAAAATGTAAAAAGCCGCCATTTTGACTCCAGTGCGTAAGTATGTGACGTCATGTACTGGTCCTGGGCGTGACGTCGAAATTGAAACAATTGAAACTTACAACCAATCAAATGTTTGATAGGTCATATTAAATGGGTTAATACGCAAACAAATATTACATGGGTATATTAACTGGATAACACAGTACACCATGTGATAAAGTCACTTAAGAAAAACAAATCTGAGGAAACAAGGCATTACATGTTAATTATCGTTTTGCAGGTGTTTGAAACCAGTTCAACAGCCGATTTGTCCATCTGGAATTCAAATGATCCTCAAGCGATTGGCTTGCAATATGGTGGATGTATCCAGCCTCAGGTCTTTAGCAACAAGTCCGTTTTCTACATGCATGAAATTTAATGCAGCAGAGGCAACAGCTATCTCAAATGCATGTCTCAATGATGCTTGCATGCTCTTTAAGGACATAAAGAAATTGAAAAGTGCTGCTTGTGCTGTCTATGAGAACTATGCAGCACTTTGCAGAGAAGAGTATGGTATTTCCGTGACTGGCTGGAGGTTCAGGACAAACTGTCGTATGTTATTTTGCTATACCTACATTGAGCAAATTAAATGTTATCGGTGCTGCTCATATGTTATGTTTCGATACAGGTTAATGCACAAAAAATGGATATAAAACACAATAATAATTATTTTAATGATATATACCTAGTGCTAATAGAGCAATGAACGAAACATGTTCTCTTATGATGCCTTCGCAAAATATAAAATGTGAAATATTTACAAAATTCAAAACGAAAATGCTTAAAATTTGTACTCCCATTAATGATATTTGAGCACTTTCCTTCATTAATGCAACCTGATAACCGAACATCAAGGTAATAGATTCTTTATTTTTTTAACTATTTTTTTATCGATATTTTCTCTTACTGGTGCTCGTAACTTTATAACTGTGTTGCATATCATTAGCACACACACATACTTGGCACGAGGTACCAAAACATATTTAAATTAATATGATCTATCTGATATGTAATTGTGGTTGATATTAATTATACACAGGTATAAAGTGTGGGGATAACATGGAATACACGGATTCAGCAACGGGCTGTCAGCCTACTTGTGGCCCCCCGCCGCCTGCTGAAATGTGTACGTTGCCGTACGAGGGATGTGTCTGTAAGATGGGATATCTATTAAGTGGCGACAAATGTGTAAAAGAATCAGAGTGCGGTTGTGTCACACCTCTTGGCAAACACATGCAAGTAAGTATTGTGCAAAACATAATTCACTTTAAGACTTGCATGTTAATTCAAAACCTATTCGCCTGCTCAACAGAGATACACGATTTATATGGCAAGGAATTTGTAAAATCAAAACATTATAATTCAAATATGATGCCTCTTCTCCTCTCATAGTACCCTAAATTAATCCAACATTGGAAATTACTGAATTCACTTTTTTATGTTGTACTGGTGCTATTGACTTTCTATGCTGTACTGGTGATATTGACATTGTATCTTGTACTGGTGATATTGACTTTCTATGTTGTACTGGTGAAATTGACTTTCTATGTTGTACTGGTGATATTCACTTTCTATCTTGTACTGGTGATATTGACTTTCTATGTTGTACTGGTGCTATTGACTTTCTATGTTGTACTGGTGATATTGACTTTCCATGTTTTATTGGTGATATTGCCTTTCTATGTTGTACTGGTGATATTGACTTTCTATGCTGTACTGGTGCTATTGACTTTCTGTGCTGTACTGGTGATATTGACTTTCTATGTTGTACTGGTGATATTGACTTTCCATGTTGTTCTAGTACTATTGGCTTTCTATGCTGTACTGGTGATATTGACATGGTATCTTGTACTGGTGATATTGACTTTCTATGCTGTACTGGTGATATTGACATTGTATCTTGTACTGGTGATATTGACTTTCTATGCTGTACTGGTGATATTGACTTTCTATGTTGTACTGGTGATATTGACTTTCTATGTTGTACTGGTGATATTGACTTTCTATGTTGTACTGGTGATATTGACTTTCTATGTTGTACTGGTGATATTGACTTTCTATGTTGTACTGGTGATATTGACTTTCTATGTTGTACTGGTGATATTGACTTTCTATGTTGTACTGGTGATATTGACTTTCTATGTTGTACTGGTGATATTGACTTTCTATGTTGTACTGGTGATATTGACTTTCTATGTTGTACTGGTGATATTGACTTTCTATGTTGTACTGGTGATATTGACTTTCTATGTTGTACTGGTGATATTGACTTTCTATGTTGTACTGGTGATATTGACTTTCTATGTTGTACTGGTGATATTGACTTTCTATGTTGTACTGGTGATATTGACTTTCCATGTTGTACTGGTGCTATTGACTTTCCATGCTGTACTGGTGATATTGACGTTGTATGTTTTACTGGTGCTATTGACTTCCATGCTGTACTGGTGATATTGACGTTGTATGTTTTACTGGTGATATTGACTTTCTATGCTGTACTGGTGCTGTTGACTTTCTGTGCTGTACTGGCGATATTGTTTTTCTATGTTGTACTGGTGCTATTGACTTTCTATGTTGAACTGGTGATATTGACTTTCCATGTTTTATTGGTGCTATTGACTTTCTATGATGTACTGATGATATTTACTTTCTATGATGTACTTGTGATATTGACTTTCTATGTTGTTCTGGTGATATTTACTTTCTATGTTGAACTGGGGATATTGACTTTCTATGTTTTATTGGTGATATTGCCTTTCTATGTTGTACTGTGATATTGACTTTCTATGTTTTATTGGTGATATTGCCTTTCTATGTTGTACTGTGATATTGACTTTCTATGGTGTACTGGTGATATTGACGTTGTATGTTTTTCTGGTGATATTGACTTTCTCTGCTGTACTGGTGATATTGACGTTGTTTGTTTTTCTGGTGATATTGACTTTCCATGTTTTATTGGTGATATTGACTTTCTATGATGTACTGGTGATATTTACTTTCTATGATGTACTGGTGATATTGACTTTCTATGTTTTATTGGTGATATTGACTTTCCATGTTTTATTGGTGATATTGACTTTCTATGTTGTACTGGTGATATTTACTTTCTATGTTGTACTGGTGATATTTACTTTTTATGTTGTACAGGTGATATTGACTTTCTATGTTGTACTTGTGATATTTACTTTCTATTTGATACTGGTGATATTGTCATTCTGTAATGTATTAACAATACTTATTTTCTTGTATTGGTAGACCTTTTCGATAATATTATGTTCTGTTTCAGCCTTGTCGTTACCGACTAGTAAAACCTTTGATAGGGTTTGGCATGACGGTTTAATATATGAATTAGAAACTTATGGAATTAAAGGAAAATTACTGGCATGGTTTAAGAACTACTTGTTCGAGAGAAAACAAAGGGTTATTACAGAAGGACACCAGTCAACTTTTAAATGTATCAGTGCAGGAGTGCCTCAGAGGTCTGTCCTTGGTCCATTTATCTTCCTTCTCTATATAAATGACATCAGTAATATAGTTACTAGTAACATTAAACTTTTTGCAGATGATACCTCCCTCTATATAATTGTTGATGATAATCCCATTCATGCAGCACAAATCCTCACTAATGACTTGCAGAATATATGTTCTTGGGCTAAATCCTGGGATATAAAATGTAATGCATCCAAAACTAAAACAATGATCTTCACACGGAAAAAAGAAATTAATCACCCTCCAATCTTCTCTAATCAACCACTAACCGACAGTACTAACCATAAACATTTAGGTCTTACTTTTAATGAAGATGGTAAATGGGGTCAACATATCCAAAATATTTATGATACAGCATATAAAAGAATTAATATATTAAGAAGTCTTAAAACCTCACTTGATAGAAATACACTTAACACTATGTATATATCTTATATTAGACCAATTTTAGAATATGCTTATGTAGTTTGGGATAATTGTACTGAACAATCAAAATTATTTTTAGAATCAGTCCAACTAGATGCTGCTGGAGTAGTGACAGGGCTTCGTAGAGGTACATCACACCATACATTGTACAAAGAATTGGGATGGGAAACCTTAGCAGATAGGAGAGAGAAAAATAAATTAATTGTAATGCATAAAATATTGCACAATTTATCACCAAAGTACCTTAATGATATAGTTGATCCTTTTTTTAATGACTTAACAAATGTGAGATATCAGCTTAGACTAAATAGAGTTTTTAACCCCCCTGTATGCAGAACTGAGAGCTACTTTAATGGGTTCTTTCCCTCAACCTTTCGACTTTACAATCAGTTAGACCCAGATATTTCAAATGCTCAATCTCTTCCCCACTTTAAGAAACTAATTAACATAACTAATAGTATACCTAATAATGATACTCAGACAATGGTAAAAAAAACTCTGGTGATAGAAAAATCAATATTATACTATGTCAAATTAGAAACAATGCTAGCAACTTAAACTTTGATCTCTTTAATGACCATCTGCTTCATGTGTGTGTGGTTATATACAGGAAACAAACTATCATTACTTCTTTGACTGTACTAGATACAACAATCACAGACAAGTACTCTCTGCTACTCTCCTCAATGGTAATCACTCGCACTATACTCCACATACTTTACTTAATGGTTGTAGCCATTGTGACAATGAAACCAATAAAAATATCCTAGAGAGTGTCTCAACCTTTATCTTGAAATCAAAAAGATTAATATAACTAGAATTATCTATATCAACTTATATTATAATGTACTATAAATAATCTAATATTGTAAACATGAACAGCAAACATGCTTATGGTTATAAATATCATTAATCTCTTACTATAAACACAGTGTGAATATGATATACTCACCCCTTAAATCAACATGGACTATTTTTGTAATTGATAATAAGTAGGTGTATAACTATATTCTCAACGTATTATAATGTGAATATTAATATACCATACAATATTGACATTTATTCACGATATTTAATTATATAAGCGTAATATTCAACTTCATGTATCTATGAGTCACTCTGTGTGGATTTTAAACTCCCAGGGAGAATCTAGTCGAGGAATATGTCAAAAACCCACTCAATACTCTGGTGAGGTCAAGAAGTAGCACAGCTTGACTTGTGACCTTTCATAAACAGTTAGAGTTATCTCCCCTATACCATATGACTTGCACATTGATATCTGTTTTGAATATAAGTTGTGTCTTTTTTCAATTTTTTATTTCACTGATAAATTATAATATATTTATATGCTGGTTTATACAAATGCATGCAGGAGAGAACTAATATAGGTATAGCCTGTTGTTCGATCCAATTCATACAACATCATAAATAAAATTTGTTGAAATGAAATAGTGTTGCGTTCCGATGCTGCATAAATATTACTTCTGATGCCGTTTTTAGTCATGTTAGATTTCGATGTTTCATGTATTGACAAAAACATCTTTAGTATTGTTTTGACATGAATTTATACCTTGGTGTAACTGAATTCCAATGATGGTGGTATTTTATAAGTTAACGTTTCAAATCTGATCGCATGAACAGTATAACTGGATGTAAGTCTTCTTTATGAACAATTGTCGAAGTGGTGTAGTAGTTGATGACAGAAGTGCTGGTATTAGTGTATTTTACAGAACAAGTTCGTAGTTGGTCACCGCTAAATTTCCTTTTTTTAAACTATAGAAATTTTCATGTCTTTTTTTTAAATCTTTTTTTCATAAACCCTTGAATTATCATATATCTTCAGATTGGCGATCAGTTAACTGAAGACTGTGATGGATCTTACGAATGCATAGACGATAATGGAATCCCTTCAGTAAAGTATATACGTAAAGGTTCTGGCTGCTTTGAGAATGCAAAATGTGTGAAGGTCGAGGGTAACTTCAAGTGTCGGTGCAATGAGGGTTTCAATGGTGATGGTATCACGTCATGTGACGGTAAGTATCTAAGTTTTGGAATAGCTACAAAGTTCATGACGTCACACATGATATACGAGTCTAAAATTCGTAAAACTTTTGTTAATTAATTTAACAATCCAATTTTTGTCATCCACGCTTTTAAATGACTATTAGTATTTACATCATCATCACCGATTACGATTAATGTCTGTCAATTATATAAGCACATCCTCCACACTTAAACCTCCTATACACATTTCCACATCTTCATATGATATTCTATCAATAATGTCACCATTCATACCAACATAGGTATAAATATTACCCACTTATGTTGAACTCTATTTATATAAAAATACCATAAGACGAAATTTTAAGGTTAAACACTTTCTATGCATGTTTGAAAACGATGAAATTTTTCAGCAATTTCTACCTTAACAATTCCAGAACTACTTCCAGTTGTTAACGAGGAAGAAGAAGGTTTACTAGGTATGTTCCACTGGTTTTGGTCACAAAATACTTTGATTTACCGAGTTTTATATGCATTTAACATCGAAATATGTGGTAAAATATGTAAGATTGACATGCGATGAGCAAACTAATGTTTGTGATAAACAGGTAATTGGTATTTAATTTGTTACGTGTAAGTTTTACGTTGTACCAACAAACTGTGGCAAACAAGTTGATAAAAGGTGCGTTACCATACGACACTGACACTCTGTGGTCGACATGACCACCCCGGCTATTAGTAACCCCTTTAATATTTCCATTTAGCAAAAAGAGTGAAACGCGTTTTTCAGCTTTTCGCCCGTATTACCCTTTAACAGTCAGGGATACCAGTGGTAGCCATTTGATGCGTTATTGCCCGTTGTAAACTATCTGCAACCCCGCCAAGAATCTTGAGAGTAAACTGGAATCAGTATGATTTTCCTGATACTCACTTTTACCAGATCCACACGCAAAACATCCGCCACCCAGTATAAAAAATCGGCATTAACATATCACGCTAACAACAACAATCGATCCCACACGTCGATTTTGACAATGCCGAAGCAGTTTAACATACTTTACTTTGGTTTGAATAATAATGCCTTAGCTTGTTTCGAACACAAACAGCATTTAAAAACTTATTTTGCGAACTTTCGAAAACGAAACCGTAAGCAAAGAGCGTAAATGGCCGGTGTTTTAACGACTCTAAACCGCTGAAAACAACTCATTAATCCACAGTTGGCCGGATAAGTAAAGTCAGCTGTCAAAACTCATAGAGACATTTCGCTCTATTTTTTTACCCATTCCGCCCCTTAGTTATTCACATTATTTGCCTGACAACGGAGACAGACGTTTCCGGAAGCTCACAAAATAAGTTTCCAAGCCCTGTTTGTGTTCAAAACAAGCATTGCCTTTATTATTCATACCTCATACCAAACTGATGAATCTTATTCCGAAGGGTGATATATAGTTTTGAATGTTGGACTATACAGTCTAAGACGCTTTTGTTTTTGTATTTTATATATAGTTGATGCTATGTGTATGTAGATATATATATAAAGTATGAATTTATGCTTTGTTTTTAGCAGCCGAAATTTTATTATAACATGCCTTTTTCTATTTCAGAACCGACGGTGGGTCCTTTGGCAATCCCAGTTGATGGTAAGTAGCCGTTGAATTTCACTGAATTTTATGAATGAAAAGCATGTATATAAAAAAATACATTTACTAAAGCAATACTTGTTTGTAACGATATGTTTCTTAAGCAGGTTGTTTATATTCAGCAGAATGTACGCTTGACGAGTTTTACAATTAATAATCTTGATTTGTTTTCTCATATTTACTTCCATCGTCTCGGTTTGTATAGTCCAGAAACGTAAATCATACATATTTCTGACTCGTTTGCAATACATAGTCCTGATAGTGTACAATATATAGTTCTGACATCCTGCAATACCTGGACCTGACATTTTATAATACACAGTTGCTGCACGTATGTTAAAAATCTAGGAACGATACCACGAGAGAAAATAAAAGCGTTAAGTGTGTGATATTGGTCATATAGGGTGAAAGGAATTAATTATGATCATTGAGAAGTATGGAACAAGCTGGTGTTAACTTAAAAACATGGATAGTTCACTTTCATTCTTCATTAACAATGAAGTTTATTATATCCATCATAATTCAACTTCACGTTCATTCTAGGACATCTACTGTATCACCCATATATGTTATTGGAAGAAGTCACACGCTAGTATCATTACATGTTCAATGAACTAAAGAGTATTAAGATAGTTGACAAAATGTGTATTTTCAGTTATGAATTATTTCCATCTGAAGCATTGTGCAAGTAAACAATACAAAACGTAATGTTGATGACCCTATTCACATCAATGTTGTTCAAAGTCTAAATACACCATAGCTCAAGGAGATAGATAACAACGTAAACACACTAAGACATGTAATGGTGCTGTCTATGTATACGTAATCACAAGGGAAAGGAGGTCTGTATACACGTAAGACCGATGATACATAAACATTATTTCAAAAATTTACTAAATTTTGACAAAATATAAACCAAAAGTGTTTCCGTAAAAAGGTTTAAAACCTGGAAAAGGATGTCCGTATGTAAATGCACACGTAAAATCAATGGAAAAGTAATGGTAATTTTACTATGAACGTAAACACTAGAAAAACGATGTTCGTATATAGCGATATATCGACAACAGAACGAGTAAACAAGATATGATTGTTTTCGTATATACGTTATTGCAAGGAGATTATGTAATTGTGAAAATTGGACTTTCAATTATGCTTGTTTATTAATACTTTCATTTGTGTAGTTGTTGAAATCTTTTCCGAACATGATGTGAACATGAGTGACAATACATATAACAAAAACAAA